TCAATTTTGTTCCCTGCTTGTTTCTGTATCCAGGTAGGGATGCTGTGCTTTCCTGAGAGTAAACAGCCACTTCCTAACTAACAATAGCAACATCAAACACCTAAATAATGCTCACTACAGACCAGGCACAGTGCCAGAGTGCTGGATGTGTACCGACAGTTAGTCCTCCTCACGCTGAATGCGGTAAGTACCATTATTATCCCCATTTTACTCACAAGGAAATGAAGCATAGAGTTGCCACAGCTAATGGCACAAGAGCCCAGAACCAAACCCCGGCAGTGTGGCCCCATAGTTAATGCTTATAGTTCACTCAACTGCCTCCTACTCATAGCAGGATTGTTGGTGGAGGTAGGAGTTGCCAGGAGATAGTGGTGTGTCGGAGTTAAGACAGATATACGCCAGCAGACGTTTGATTGACAATCCATCTTTAAGGAGGGGCTTAACAGAATGAAAGGTAGAAGAGCTAACTGAGCAGCACTGGAGAAGTCTGGCCATTGCTTAATTTCACAAAACATTGTGGAAACGATCTGACCGGGAGATAGTTCTCCGATATGTAGACAATCTTGATCCAAACATGATGATTCCCTTTGGGTTTTTGTGTGCATGACTCACTATGCTCAGAATGGTGTTCGTCTCCATGAACTAGAAACCTAACGGAAGCTGACTTAAACAAGTAAGGAGCTCAGTTTTGCAGGTAATAAGGAGTAGACGGTGGGCTCGCCAGGACCGGGACACCCGCTCAAGGGCCCAGGCTGCTTCGCTCTTCCTCTTCAGGAGTGTTAGATGAATCCCATCTTGGAGCACCCATTCAAGTTCCAGGCAGAGAGAAGGGAAAATGGCAAAGGGCAAAAGATGTCAGCTCCATTTTAATCAGGAAAAAATTAGCTTTGCAGGAAGTCCCATCCTAGGTCCACTTCTGACTCATTAGTCAGAGCAATGTCACATGGTCACCTCTTACTGCAAGGGAGCCTGGGAAATTGAAATTTTTAGCTGGGCACATTGCCAACCGGAGGAAAATTGGGATTCTCTTAAGTAAGGAAGGGAGACTAGGTATCAGGTAGGCAACCAGCAGTGTCTTCCACAGTGGGGAGTGATGGGGAACCCAGAGAGCACAGTGTCAGTCTCTAAAGTATTCTAGCCAGCTGAAGCCACCACAATCAAATAGAGAACACATTCTTGCAAAGAACTGTAGGATTATGAATCACTTACAACAGCTAATTATTCGAGGTCTTTGGTTCAAAGTAGGGTAAAATATATACACCAATATTTTTGTGAGTTTAAGCCTCGTTATTCACACGAAACAGAAGGGTAGGGTCGGCTTCTCTTTAGCATCAATCCAACATGAAAAATCAAAATGCTACCAAGGACATTAATAAACAGAAGTAACAATGGCACTGTGACCAAAGCATCCAGTCAGATAATAGTTCATGTGTCAATCAAATAAACAGGTATGGAAATATTTCTAGATACAGTATGAAGCTATCTTATAAAAAGCATTTTATAAATGATATATGGAAAGTGAGAAGAGTGTCTCATTTTGACATCAAATTCACAGCATTTAATAAACTATGCCTGGCTATTTCCATGTGGGGCTATCAGATCCCCGTTTCTGACTATAAGATCAATCAAAATGATTAAGCAATAAAATTCAGGATACTGCTTTCTTATCAAATAATAAAAATCCTAGAACAGATGCAGGCTGCGCTTCAGATTGTCAACTGACTGCCTATATTCCCATGGAATCCAAAAATTCGAATGGTAAAGTTCATCAGACATCAATCACAAATTTTGGTGAGATTTAGCTAGTTGATGGGAGCTTCTTTATTGGTTATATTCTTCATACAGGAAATACTCTATGAGGACCTTCAAGTTTTATCTTTCCATTTGAATGATTATTTTTTTAAAAGTTAATATAAGCATATTCTGGATCATCTTATAAGTATGTTATTTCACCGTCTGAATTTAAGTTTACAAATATGAAGGCATCAAGGAACGCTACTTTCACTGTCTCAAGTTTAATGAGAATAGAAGCAAATTGGACTTCATGAATCCACGTGGCATACAGGTCAAAGGTTACTGGATATCTACGGAACTCTCCCTGAGAAAAGCAATGGATGAACTGAGTCAGCCCTTGGCTGGTGGGGGTAGGCAAACACACACAAACGAACCTGCCATGGAGCAGCCGCCACCATATTCATGATTTGTGCAAGAGTTTAGATTTTAAAAAAGCATTATTGGCCACATTAAATTAATGGCATTCATTTCAATGTAATGGTTTTGCTGTTTTGTTTGTATTTAATTTGTAAAGATGTTTGGTTTTATAGTTGTGTAATGGCTGTAAACAGAAGGAGTTTAGTCCTATTTTATTTTTATACATATTTAAGTAACATTATAATCAAAACAATTTAATTCTATACTGCAGTATCAAGAGATTGTCTTTGCTTTAAAAACAGTCTCTAGACTACCCAAGTCTGAGAAACACTTTTCTACAGCTTTCTCTCTGACAGGAAAAGAGGTGATGCCATTACTTCCCAGCCAAATTCATCCCTACTTACAGGTAGGTGAAGTACCCTACAACGGCAATAATTTCCAAATGTTTGGATTAGTCATATCATTGTTTAATGGACATCTTATTCTCTGCAGAAATAATAATTATAAAAAACTAAAAAGTTTCTGTGATCCTTTTTTAAAAAAGATAAATTATAATTCTCTTGAGTTGGAAGGTCTTAGAAATTCTCTAGTCTAATGACACCTTGGGGGCACTATAACGTCCCCCACAGATGGCTGTCCAGTCTGTGCTTTAGTGAGGCTGAGAGGGGCTTTTGAACACAGCGATGTCTACCATGTGATTTTGAGCAGTTCACTGCTTGGTGTGACTCGTCCCCATGACGAAAGTCTCCTTTGGAATGTTTTGCTGAGTAGGTTTTGGATGGAAATTAGTTAGGAGGCTGCGCTTCAGTGTGAGGTCAGCATGGTGCAGAGCAGAGACTGCAGCCAAAGATGCTGGAGCCCAGTAGCAGACAGGGCTCTGAGTACATAAGCCCTTTTGAAAGTTTGCAGAAATCTTCAGGAGACGGTTAGACTCTTCTAGGGCACTGGGGTTTAAAGCAACAGATTCTGGACCTCGGGACCTGGAGAGGGCCCTCTGACTCTCATCCCACACGTCAGGTGGGACTCCTGAGGTCTGTGAACAAACACTACAAGCACATCCACTACTTTTTAGATTTTCAAACTAGATGTGGAAGGTAGCAAAAATGATTAATGTTTTTATCAATGATCAGTAACATGGTAACTAACTTTCTTTTAGGTCTTCCAAAAGTTTCTAACTGGCAAAACCAGTGTTTCTGCTGTCGTTTCTCCCAAGAAAACACTTTCAATGGGACATTCATTGCCTTCAAATGCTATTTGACCTTCCATAAGCAGCTTTCACAAGCACAGAAAAACCAAGAAGTTTTTTAAGAAAATGTCACTGTCACTGATAATAGCCTTCTTTGAATCCTGACACATCTGTGTTGGTTAATAAGCACCAGGAACCTGCTTGGTGGTCATACCCAAGCTGTTGAAATAAACCATAAGCCTCCTATGTTAACCTACGTCACTCACTCATTATAGTCAACATCAAACAGATTTTCATAAAACAATAAAGAAAACCAAAAACCCGACAAAAACCAAAAAAAAAAAAAAAAAGAAAAAGGAAGAACAGAACAATAACCTGACTGGAGTTTTACCTTAAGAACTGCTTCTCCTTCTGCTACTCTTTAAAATGCTTCCTTCTGGGTTTACCTGAGGGATACCTGTTGCACTTGCAAACCTCTATTAAAAATGGCTGGAAGTAAATAACTGAAACAGGGACTGCTTGCCAAGCGCAGCAGCCAAATCACACATGGGTGCTATGGGTGAAATAGTCACAATGCCTTTCTAGTCTCACTGAGTTCTCGACGCGCAGTACCAGGGACCAGCAGCTCCACCACGGGACCTGGAGCTTGTTAGTCCACCCCAGGCCCACTGAATCAAAATGTTCTGGAAAGGTCAGTCAGTGTGTGTCTTAAGAAGTCCCCCAGGGGATACAGATGCATGCTAAAGCTTGAGAACCGCTAGTTTTAAGTGAAACCTGCTATTTTTAATGTTCAAAACCTAGCTCCCCTATAACGCAATGATTCTAAGAAACCATTACAGGACGTGATGGGATTAGCGTATTGTTTAGCACAATAATGTGCATATGTTTCAAATAAAAAGAAACGAGTATTATTTTCTTCATGAACTAAACTTTATATGGTGTCTGAATATATAAATAGAGGGGTGGAAAAAGATCTGCTTTTAAATTGTTTCGGTTAAAATTTGAAACAAATATATAGCCATTAAAAAACACATAGCAAAAAAATATATATAGCCATATAGTCAGTTAAAATCTGCAAGAAATATGTAGCCATTAACATGGAGTCAACATTGCAGTCCTGTGTGCCATACTGATAAACACAATCAGACCTGTGGTCTGTGGCTACTAACAAGCCATCTGAAGACCAGCTATACTGTACATCTCGTTCTCTAATTCTTTCATCATATAAAATCACGTCAGCAAAAAAAAGTGGCCCTCTAAATAAATCACAATTGGGATAAATCATGTCATTCCTCATCTATTTAATCACCACAACTAGAGGCTCTCCCAGCAATAAAAGGAAATATGGCTTAAGTAGAAGAGCCATAATTTCAAGTTTGCTTTTTATTTGAGTTATAAACTAAAGGTTAGTTCTCCAGTCTGAAACCATTTTAAGAACAAGATGAAATACGTTGGAATAATTAGAAAAGCTATCAAAACCTCTGCCGCTCCTTCCATTAGGATTCGATTTGTGTAAACTCAATACTTTTAGACACAACGGCTTTTTAACAGCCATTAATAAAAGGCAGTTCTGGTTTGAGATCTGATGAGCAATCTACTCCCTTGTCAAAAACTATACAAAAGTTGATTTGGAAGCAATACCCTGATTGCTCCTGGAGCCTACCCGTCTGCAGGTGAAGGTTTGGAATTCCGCGGCTTCTTCACTTGGGCATACAAGGCATCCATCATATGTCCTTCTCTTGGGCTCTGCGGTCTGGCGCTGAGAGCCATGGAACCTTCATAGGAAGAAATTCCCCCGTACACCAGCTCATCATCACAGCCAAATGTTCGATGAAAATCTTGGATTTCAGCATAGTCACGCTCTCGAGCTTGTCGCTCTCTAAATTCTCGAGTTTTGGCTTGAATCCTGTAAAATCAGAGCAAAGTTGACACAAGAGAAACCATGCCTTTTCTAAGAACTGCATATAGAAACATTCATCAAAATATGTTATAAAATAAATACATTTTATTTCATGCAGCTATAAGATCATCGATGGTATAAATGATGCTATATTCATTTTAGATTGTCAAGATAATGTCATGGAAGCTCAAAAGTAATCATTTGAGATAGCTCTTGTTCATGACAATAAGCTATGGTCATAATTTACATCTTAAGTTAAATTGTCACTTATTAACTAGCTTTAAAAGTTCACCAGGAACAGGTAGGCATCCACTTGGGTTTTACTCATGACTTTTTTTCAGGGAGAGAGTGATCTTTTAAAAAGTTACACACACACACACACACACGCACATACTATATATGTATACATTTTTGTGTGGGTGCATAATGTATATATCTTACTCATTATAAATATACCATACACATTCAACATACTAGGAAGCTTAAACATGATTCTACATCATAATTCTTTATTAATGGCAAAAAAAGTTCTCAGTTTAATGATACTTTGATTTTACGTGATAACCCAGGACTGGCAAATCCTGAGATTAAGGACAAGAAGGCACGTGTCCAACCAAATTCTGAAATAAAACTCGCCTGCTTCATAACAAGAAACAAATCTTAACCACTTTTTCTGAAGATATGCTTAAATATTTCCTAAGATTTTATCAAGCTACTTGGTACAAAGCCCTCTGACTGTAAGATTTCATTTATACAACATTCTCAAAATGACAAATTATAGACGTGGTAAACAGATTAGCAATTGCTGGAGATTAGCTATGGTGGGAGCAGAGGGGTGGGTGTGATTATAGAGAACTAGCATGAGCAAGACGTCTGTGATGGAAGAGTTCTGGTTTTTGACTGGAGTGGTGGTTATAGGAGTCTGCACATGTGATAAGATGACAGAGAACTATAGACACACATGGTACCAACGTCAATTTCCTTATTTTCGTATTATATTATAGTCACGGAAGTTGTAACTGTTAGGGGAAATCGGATGAAGGATACACAAGACCTCTCTGTACCATCTTTGCAACTTCCTGTAAGTCTAAAATTATCTCAAAATAAAAAGTTGGTTCTTTTTTAAGCCAGAAAATTGTCACATAGCATTGTAAGCTAAATTTGCATTTTTTTGCTTACATCTAGCTAATCACCACCATGCCAGTCTTGTTTTCCAAATTTTGGACCTACCACATCGCATTTCTCCAGTTTCCCTTATTTCCCAGCTATAAAATAGAAGTACTTAAATTCACCCAGATCAGTGTTTCTCAACAGAGGTCTAGTTACACTCGAGAATTTTTTTTTAATTCAATCAAAAGGCTTTATTCCTTATATAAACCAACCCTTAACAAAAATAGTTAATAACATGAAAGCCACATGATGGCCCCTCCACTGAAGTCCTGGCAAGGAGACGGATACACAGGGAGGAGAGGGGGAGGCCACAGCACAGCTCAAGTGCATGGCCTGGATGGAGGATATCTGCAAGGCGAGGGTAGGGGCTGGCAGCCAGAGATGGCAGAGGGTTCCTGAGGCCCGGGATCGGGCCCCGACAGCAGAGCTAAGGCAGGGGCCCAGCTCCCCTTGGGCACAGGTGACGTGGTGGGTGAGTTTATTGCTGTATAGGACTTCTCGCACAACTGGTTCCAGCCACATATCATCAAGCAGTGTCTCCAGCCATTGAGGCAACCAAAAGTGCTTCACATATTCCTAAAACCTCCCAAGAACATTGGAAAGTAAGAAATTTTTATCAGGAGAGTCTTAGATTCTAATAAATATAAGTCCCACAGACAGACTACTCATAAGAGACATCACAACTAAAATTCTAATGTCATATTTGGCTAAATTTATAATAATTTTTTATTATAGTCTGCTGATTTATTTAGGAGAAATTACGACAGTCAAGAATGACATTATAAAGGCTGATTACCACTAAATACTGAATATCCACAATGAAAAGTTCATACAAGCTGAGAAAATTTCATTCTTTGCACCATACTGTCTTTTTGACTCTGTATTCAGCCAGAAAAAGTACAGAGAAAGGGAAATTAACTTCTTTCTTCAACTCAATGGGATATTAATTTGAGGCTCAATTATGATAACTTATCTGACAACCCACTTTGCTAACATATTCGGTCATCATGAGACAATCATCTAATCACAGGTAATATCCAGGGTGACTGCGCATTCACATAAGTCTTGAGGTTTGGGAACCTGAAGAAATTTGGAGGGCTACAATAGAAATAAAGCCAAAAGTTCTGAATTTGGAAAGTCTCCTGAAATCAAAGGGAGTGACTTAGATTGGTCTACAAATGAGTGAACCCTATGGTATTCAAACCTCAATTCATTAAAAGTGAAAATAATCCAGCCTAATTATGTTGGGAAGTGCAGCCCCAATAAAGAAGGAAGTCATCAGAAAAAGAAAATACAGGGGCCAGCCATGTGGCCTAGTGGTTAAGTTTGGCATGCTCCACTTCGGCGCCTGGGTTCAGTTCTTGGGCACAGACCTACATCACTCATTGGTGGCCATGCTGTGGTGACAACCCACATACAAAATAGAGGAAGACTGGCAGGGAAGTTAGCTCAGGGTGAATCTTCCTCAGCAAAAAAAAAGAAAAAAAGAAAGTACAAACATTCTCTTCTCAAGGGAGGCATGAATCTAAACCTAAATAATCTCCCCAAACTTCTTGCACATCAATTTTATTATATTATTGATGAGTCTTGGATTTGAATGTTCTTTTATTCCAAATCACACAGAAACTAATATTCACTAGGGATCAATTTCTAACAAATCAATTGCTCAGGAGAAATGCTCAGCAGCATGAGGTACTATTCATAAGTTCTCAATCGCTTTCTTCTATCCAAATTTGTATATTATTACTAAATGCCACTAATCATTGAATCCAACCAACACTACAGTCACATCTATAGTACCGTCTAAAAACGCTGATTTTTTTCTAAGCTTCAAAAACATAAGAAATTATACTTTTATTCTTTATCTTGTCATCACAGATAAATTTATCCCCCAAGTTATGAAAGCTATTTGCACCCCTCTTTCCACTCTGGCGGCTCAAACCATGACGAAAACCTTAGAATAAAGCAACAGCATACCTGTGGCTGACAAAGGTGGGACTAGTGCCGCAAAAGCCTAAAGAATCTGGTTACCAGCTGAACCAATGTGCATTTTAAAGTTCATTCTAGAAAGTAATGACAATGAAGCTTGCTGTACAAATGGCCATAAATTAGATTTTAAAAGCTGGGAATGCTCTGTGGTCTTTGCGAATTTTAGTGACAATTCACAATCAAATAAACAAGACACAAATGATTTTCTTTACTATAAATTTTTATACTTGAGTGTCTTATTTATATAAAGTGAGAAAAGGCACTTTGCAACAGAACCAAAAGGTTATATTTACATGTTCTATATTTTCATTCTTTGTGGAGAAACTTATTTCAGAAAAGAAATATTTGGCTTAGGAGAGGAAATATTTTTGGTGTCCTAATAAAAATAGCATAGTTTCTTACGGAAACTTAAAAAAAAGATAGCGAATATCTTTCAGTTGAGCCCTTAATGATTCCAGATGGTCAATGCTATAAAAGGACACCCCCCTCTATTCTTTTATTGTGACCCTGAGGTCACAAATTGTCTCTAAGATGTAAGAGTCATTCGTTTGTCTGAACAGTCAGGTTGTTGTTTAGCATTTTCCATCCCATTTGTCTCAAGCCAAACCTCAGCAATGACAGAAGTAACAGATTAGCCCAAAACCTAGCAAAAGAAATACATGTCTATTGCTTTAAGCATTTCAAAAGTCCTTCCTAGTTATAAACAAGAGAACTATCCTGAGGTTTAAATGATCACAGACAGCTGTACCTACTGACATTGATGGGCAATATTATCAAGCACTATTTCCCTAGCCTTGAAATGTACAAAAAAAAATAGAAACAACAGTTAAAACTTTTTATTAAGACTTTTTAAAAAGTTGGTAAAGAATTTATCATTTTAATTTGTATGTTCAAACATAAATATTCACACCTTTCTTCTCTGTTAAAAAAAAGTCTTTTCCATTATGATAATGAAATTGCCTTGAACCTGCATAGAAAATAATACACAAAATAATGTAATATACTAAATAAAGTAATAAGGTTAATTTCTTTCCTGCTGTCACTAAATTCATGCTAACAGTCTCTCTTCAGCTTGACATCAATTAATGATTTTAATTCCAGACTCTTGTCACAGTGTTCACCACTCTCTTCTCTAATTAAAATGGATGATGCAGGATGAAGATAAAACGCACAAGACTTCTATTCTCGTAACATTTCTATTCGGTAGGATTTTTGCTTTTACAATAAATGGCTTTTAGCACTAATTGCGGTAGAGTAAGATGAAAATAACTTTTTTATGACTATGAAGCATAGTCTTTATATATCCAGAAAAGGTACAAGTCATGAAAATCACACTGAGTGACCAGGCCCTCGCAATGAAGAATCAAGGGCGTGCTTCAACTGCTCAGTTATCTCCCCAATACCTCTGCCTCCAGAGCTATGAAGCTTCCACACACGAAACGAGCAATGGTGCGTTTGTTCAAAAGACTCCCAGAAACAGAAACGGAACTTTAATGGTTTTAATTTTCTTTTAAAAAGGTTTAGGTCTGCAGAAGACAGACTACACTAATATTAATTTAACCAAAAAGATTAAGTTAATTTCAGATTGCTACATATTAGTTGTTAGCCATCTTCAAGACAATGTTTCAGATCCTGGATAAACTCTTTTGGGGAATATTTCACCCCCAAATTATTGCACTGCCATCCAGAAACCTAATTCTGGGAACAAAGTTCCCAGATCTTATCCCAATATTCTTCCCTCTCTCTAAAAACCAGTTATTACAGAAACTCATCAAATAAAATCTAAATTCATGGCAGAATGAAATTTAACCTACAAGACAACTGGAACGAATGGTTCAATTTAATAG